GATGTGGGTACAGGTCAGTAATCTTTTCGATAGAACCCACACCCACACCCACACCCACACCCACACCCCACACTCACACCCACACCCACCCACACCCAGAACAGATAGCTTCAAATAAATTAAGTGATGAAAAAGACTATCTCAAGCATTTTTTCTCTCATATACAGCATTTTATAAGAAGGAAATATATTAAGCGATCAAATGCCGTTCAAAAAACTTATAGTTTAACACACTAATTTAGTCGAAAAACTTCAAAAATTACTACTATGACTCATCTTATGTACAATGATATGTCAAGAAATTTGCAATAATTAAATTTTTTAATTTTAACAGTGAAAAATAAAGTTCATGGCATTATTTTGACTTGTTTTTCAGCTCAACATAGTTTTTAGTGTATTTTGTAATTATGTTGAAACTATTATAAAGAAACGCTTTGACTTGTTGACGAGTACTGACATTAGTATTTATCAAGTGTACACTATTAGCCACTGTTAGCATATTTTGCGATTCTAGTGCAGATATCAAACAGCTACGAAGTTTTTTCATGATTGACAACAGAGGGTTCTTGTAAAAAATCTACCTCTGCAGTTATCAACGATTATCTGACTATGTGGATGTGTGGGTGTGGGATATGAATGTGTGTGTGGGTGTGGATGTGAGTGAAGAGAAGATCACTACCCACACCCAAATTTTATTTCATTTGATTTTCGATGAACAAACAGATAAGAAAAGATATGCTTCAACTAGAAATCGAATCCATGACAAAGGCTAATTAACATGACCAGTACTCTAACCATTGAGTCATAGAAACATAGTTAATTAACACAAAGTTTTCTTCTCTGAATGATATTTAATTATCGAAAGAATTTTTACGTCAACACGATATGTATGACGTATTTGGATATAGTAAAGCTATTTGTAACCAAGTGGAGATGGTGGTGAATAATTCTTCTCTTATCAAGGTTCAAGGGTAAATATGACTATTCAAAGGAATGAATAGAAGTATATGTATTTTTTTTAATAAAACACGAAATTTTACTTCCTTTGATTTTCAATGATTAAATATCATTCAGTGAAGAAAAATATGTGTTAACTGTGCTTCGATAACTCAATGGTTAGAGCACTGGTCATATTAACTAGTCTTGGTCATGGGTTTGATTCCCAGTTGAAGCATATCTTTTCTTATCTATTTATTCATCCAAAATCAAATGAAGTAAAATTTCGTATTGTATAAAAAGATTACATATACTCCTTTTCATTGGTTTGAATAGTCATTACAATTTCAAGATTATTTCTTTCACGATTACTTGTATGGATATAAAAGTCAAGTTTTAAATAGAAACATGCAAATAACTTTTATAAATTTGTTTGCTAGAAAGTCATAATCATCTGTGACTATATTAGCTCATTAAGTTATTTGCTTCTTTTTCCTGAAGCTTTGTATCATTAGTTGTCTTAGACATAAAAGAATGTAAATATATTCAGTACTCGGTTGCATTTGTCTTTTTAGGTTTTATTAGTTGCTACATTGCTGAGTTTTCTAACTTTTATTTAAAACATTGAAAGGAAGATGCTAATTGCAGGTTTTAGTCTATCATTACAAGTTACTTTGACTGATATTATTTGACACATTAGAAAAAAAGATTGAAATCTGAAGCTCTAGTTTATTCAGATGTATGTTCAGAGTTATTTGCACAAGAGTCATATTTGTTCATTTAACTGTATCAGCGTTATACATATGGTTTTCAATTTATTCATTTCCATGTGTTTTAAGCCGTGATACGTATAGACTGATGAATTGTAAACTAAAATCGATCGATCAAGTCAAGAGAAAGAGTGTTCGAGGTGTACACTATTTGCACAGACTCTTATCTATTTTAAACAATTGAATGCGTTGATTAAAATAATCAGCTACCCATAGGTTACCATTATGATCAAATGCTAAATCACATTGACCTCTTATTTGATCAATATGATCACCTTCACCACGTCCGCCGACAACAATAACACCCTCTTTGCTTCCTTTGAACCAACGTGTGATTCGAGGATTATAATCTTCAGCTATATACACAGTACCCATTCGATCAACAATAACAGACGATGGTTGATGTAATTGATTAAGCTCACTCCCAGGTCCATTACCACCTGCAACAACAATACCTTCTGTTGCTCCATGAGGCCATTTTACTATTCGATGATTGCCTCCATCAGCAGCGAAAACTGATCGATCATGATCGACAAATATGAAATACGGATAAGATAATTGATTGAGTGCACTTCCTTGTCCATTTCCACCAGCAACAATTCTACTATCAGGCCACGTTATTACATGATGGTCTCCAGATATGTCCGAAATATACAATAATCCATTATCATCCATTGCCATTCCCCAACAATGAATATTGGACATAAGTGTAGTTCCATGATCATCATTCTTGTTCCATTTTTGAATACGATGATTTTCTTTATCACAAATAAGAAGAGAACCATTTTTATCAATAACAAATCCTTCAGGATATGAGAGCTGATGACTCCTATCGCCTTGTCCATTACCACCGGCTACTACTTGGCCAGTTTTAGCACCAGGTGCCCATTTAACTATTCGATGATTAAAATTATCGGTAATATAGATGTTTAAATCATTATCAACAACGATATGCGATGGAAAGTCAAATCGGTCTAAGGAAGAGCCTGATCCTTTTCCTCCGATAACAGTCGTCCCATTTGGATTCCATGTTGCATTTGCACATATGCCATCATCGGGTATCAGTGAAATAGCTAAATGATGAATAACATAATATGATAGGTTCGTCATTGATTCCTTTAGTTTCTTACTTGTTGTTGTCGCTGGTGATAGAGAAGGACAGATTTCTTTATTAGCCATATCTATTGGATAGCAAAGAGGTCGATTTTGACATCGTGGATGTTCTATGCAAATGTGCTTTGGTTGATAGCACGTTTGATTGTTGAGAGCGCATGAACTCAAATGAGAACAACTCAATTGAAGATACGCACATATACTGCTACTACTGTCATCAGCTAGAGACAGACAACCACATGCTCGATTGGATGAACATAAGTCATATTGTAAAGCATTCTGACATGTGTTAGCTTCAGTTCGATCTATGTCAATAATTTAAATATGTTGTATGTAAAACAATCAAGAAAGTATATTAGTTACCTGAAAAACTTGAAAAAATTCATTAGAAAATAGTCAAATTATTTTAGAGTTATTGAAAAATGGCGCACATACCTAAGAATGACTGGCAACAGCAGCAGACAAACTATCGCTGTCATACGTGTGCTTGCTTTTTTTCGTTTATAAAGAAAAGTTATATGTAAATTTTAAATTACGAGATAGAAGTTATCTTTTAGACATTACAAAGCACTATCATTAAGGATTTTGTTTTTTTACAAATCTAGCAGAGATGACGTTCGTTTTTTTCTCTTGAAAGGAAGAAGAAAAAGAGCTGAATCGTGTTATATTTAAAGACGTACGATAAAAAAAATACGTTTTCATTCATTAATTCCGTAAAATTACTATAAAATATTTCGAATAAACTTGCTTGCTTTCATCACTTCCATTGATACAAAAAATACTGATTATTTTGAATTTGTCGTGGCAGTTTTATGCCTAAGTAAAATATTTAAATCGACTTTATTATACTAAATGCAGAGTATCACACTTTATGGTACCAAACTTCAGTGCCTTTGATGCTGATGTGCGATGATGTCGTTGCATGTGTTACTCATGCATTATTCTTTCCACTGAATAGAAGATCATATAAAAAGTATATCTGTTTGTTAGCGGCACATCCGAAATGCATGCCAAAGGTCATACAAATATACTTGAGGTCACATTACTTTTGCCGGTTTTATAGCATTAGGTAATATTCTAGCAGAAGCGAAATCACGGCCACGGCAGTTTATGTCACCTATCCTCACCTTCGCCCTCAATGCTTTTTGGTAAGCATAAGGTCTGCTATGTCTGTCTGATAGACACTATTCACCTCTTCATTTCTTTCTCTAGCCTTCACCTCCAGTTTGATGACTAGCCGTCACCCGGTTAAAATCATTCCTATTGAAGATAGGGATGCACCGGTGACGATTCACCATTAGGGGTGTCAATTTATATTTACCTCTCATTTAATTTACGCTTAAATGAAATGATAAATAATTTATATTTATTCGTAAATATAAATTATAATAATTTACACTTATTTGCAAATATAAATTTTGCAACAAAATAATTTATATTTATTATAAAGTAAACGGTAAATGATATCCCTAGTTAGTACCTATTCACATCCCGCAACTACACTCACACACACGACAGTAAAAAAGATATGTGTCTCAGTTGTCTCCTGATGGTTAGTACTAGCTAAACATGAGAGCAATTCGATCAGGTTTTTTTTTGCTTTAATTTATTCTGTTCTTGAGTATACATCAATAGAAGTTCTCAAATATTGTCCAATCATAAGTAACCTCAGAGATAGGACTAGTAAATTTTAATAGTGACTTTATCTGATATATATGAGACAAACATGTAGATCTAATAGCTTGTATTTCAAGTCACATTTTCTATTTGAAATCATCATTCTTCCTGGATTCTATTATGCATAACAATCACTTTTAACATCTTATGTACAATCAAAGTGTCTTGATCTTTATTTTTTAATATTGTGCTGAACAGTTTCGAATTCGAAAGATTTATTAGTTGGCAATCGTATTAACAAATGTAAGATTATTCCAGTTCGACAGAGAGTTCATCGCTATGATCTACCTCAGGTGCAATACGACTTTCTGCTCCGCATTTGATACAGAAACGAAGCCAGTACTTTCGTCGAAACCAAAGCTTTTTCACTAAGACATGTTTTATTTGATGCCGATAACGTGATGATGTTGCCATGAAAATATAAAAATTTCCCTAATAAAGACAAAAGAGAATTAAAATCTCGTAGGTAAAAAAAGACAGTAGATATAACTTACTGCAAAATTAATATAGAGAAATGTAACGGTGACTGATTCAATCAGTGTATTATTAATGGCCGATAAAACTAATTGACTTTTATCGACAGTCACATTAAGTATATATATTCGATATGTTGTATACGGCAGCATTAGAAGTCCAAGACAGATTGCACGAGCAAGTACCATAGCTGTGAGTTGTTGATCAAGTCGACGACGTGTAATTCGAAGTTGTTGTCGAACTAGATGACGAACATTACGAAAGGCTAAAAAACTGAATAATGATGCAATAGTCATCGGCAATATACCAACCACAATCGGATAGTAAACAAATGAATAATATTGACCAAATCTAGCATTATAGTTTTTACAAGTCATTGAAGGTGGTAGATCAAAAAACAAAATAAATGGGATACCATGCAGAAAGAGTACGATAATTAAAGTAAATGCAAGATATTTAGCAAGACGAATACTACTTTTTTGTTTAAAAAATGGATTATAATGTGTAGAAAGAAATTGATCGAAACAAGCCAAACAAATCGTATATGCAGGTATGAGCGTAACAGTTGGTGCAAGAAATGCTCTTATCTTACAAAATTCCCTTGATATATTTGTGAGATCAATGCCAAATCCATTGGATATGATTCGTGTTGGATAGTTGATAATAAGTTGAGCTAAATTCCCGATTGATTCAATTGTGAAATAGAAAACAGATGGATGTCCTCGAAAAAGTCGTAATTTATGCAATACAATGATATTTATCATATTACCAATGACTCCCAGAAATAAGAAAAGAAAACCACTATAGGTCATAAAAGTTTGAGAAATAGAAACAATCAATTGAGCTGTTGATGACATGATTCTTTCGAAAATTGAAAAATAGATATTTAATTATAATCGTCTTTTTATTTTCTTCTTCTTAAAGAAGAAAATTATATGAGTTTTAGAATGCTACAATAAGAATTACTGCAACAAAAAGCAATCGATTTTTAATTGATTTCACTATTGAATACAAATCTTGTTTAATATACAGGTAACTTCGAAGACTTTTATTTTTGAACCATTCCAGTGATTGAGTATAAACTCTATCTAGAATGTAAACAATGTCAATCATCTTTCATAATACAAAAAACAAATTATGTAATTTTAGCGTATTTATTAAAAAAATTTCGTTTTATTTATTTTATGTTAAATATTGGATAATTCAAAAAACTGATAACTATTATCTGTAACCTAGAAAAGATCTTCAATAAAAATAGAAGATAACGTGTTAATGATATTTTAACCCCTCCCCTACATATTAGTAGACGCCTCTTTCATTAATTAATTTATTGCTAATTGGGAACTTAAATTAGTGAATTTTTGTCCAGAAGTGCACAGTTTTCGGGGTTTTCAATCTGAAATATTTGGAAAGTGGTCCGAAAGTATCCCTTAGCCTCCAAATCATAGAAATTCCTAGAAGAATCCTGAAAACTCATTTCAGTTAATAATTGCTAAAAAAACCTAAGACATAATAGAAGACTCAGTGTTTTCTATCGTGGAAGGGGGTTACATCTTTTTCTTTGCTTAGAGATTTCAAATTCTCATCATATTTGTAACTAATTAACATTTTTGATTTATCAAAGTTTCAAATCTATACTTAAATTTGATGTATTTTTATGTATCAAAACCATTTAGCTTTGATCGCTTTTTTCTTTGCATACAATCGACTTTCATTTTAGTAACTGTTTAGTAAATTTAAGTTGTGATTTATGTACTAGCATGTTGAGTACATCTCAAATTCGCTGTTCTGTTACACGACTACAAAACTGCTTCTTAAGATTAAGAGTTCCTCTCAATAGTATTTATGGTTAATACGGATGAAAATTTCTATAGTCTATTTATTTTAGATTATGCTCTTTGGAATTTCATACAAAATGCTTGGAATTGTTTCTTTTTTTTGTTTATAGAACTAATCATTAAATTTAAAAAGAATTCTACATGCATATACAGATTTTTCTATGATTCAACTAGTGACGCCGCCACTAGATTCAACTGATTTTTGCTGTTTTCGGCAAAGAGAAGAAGTTTTGAGAGATTAAAGATCTTTTAAATATATACACGATGAAAATTTGAGGCATCACACAAAAACCTACAAAATGGTATTGTTATTATAGATTTTAGTTATCTTAGTAGATAAACTAAGCGTCAAAAATTACCGAGTCAGTATTTAAAAAAATGTGTCTCCAAGAGAGCTACTGATGTGCAAATTTGTACTTCGTCGATTGGATACAAAAGAGAAAAGAAGATTTTAACGCAATTACACTTTCATCTCATAGTAAATAAAAACTTTCATGTGACTTAAAGAAACTTTTTGATCTAGTAGAATCCAGTCAGTGTGAATAAACGTGTTGGAAATGATAAAATATCATTAACTAATAGTTTATTATTAAGCATAGTATCGAACATTACTATAATCATTCTGTGTCCATTTCCATTCAAAAACTGACATTCTACCCGTTCTCTTTTCCAGGAAAAACCGAAATGGAAAGTGTGATTTTTATGAAATAAGCTGAAAGTTTGTAATGTTTTCGAGATACTCCAAGTTCCCATTGAAAAAAAATGATGACTTTCGTGTGAAAAACATGAAAAAATACCATTTTTGTTGATGAAACGGACAAAAAAGTTGTCGTGTTTCATTTTTATCAATTTCATTTCGTTATTTTTTATTTTTTAATCACCTTTATTTCATGATTTTGACTGGCAATCAAAAACAAGATATGAAATCGGTGAAATTCTGCATTTTAATTGACGGAAACGAAACATATCAATTTTTTTGTCCATTTCATCATTTTCACGATGGTTTTTTTTTGTACTATTTTTATATTGTGTTGTCTTTTGCACTAAGTGCATTAAATATGAAATCAAAACTTATGTGAACTGTTAGGTCTTGTTTTTAGTTGTGACGTTATTTATCACCTACGAATAACAGAAAACAGACTGTACAAATTTCAGATGTATCCTCGTTATCGCTACAAATCTTTCTCAAAATATTCACAGGTGAAAACAAAGTCTATCTTCGTCCTCTTTTTTTCTTAATGATCGATTCTCTTTATTCCTTCTTTAAGAGGTTTTCCATTTTTTTCGATGTAGTCAAACATATACTTATGAGAGTAAATCAAACATTATATCTCCGAATCATTTCGTAAGATAAGACACACTAAAGATGTGTGAGAACTATTTTTCTAGTTTTTTTCTAAAAATTAATTTTCACGTATAGTTTATTTGAAAAAAAAATATTTTGAATTCTCAATTTAGTCTGAAGAAATCACTTACACAATTTTCAGCGGATGCTTTTTTTAGATTAAGATCAATCGTCACTGATTTAATTTCGATGCAATTGAACATTATTTTTCACGGTATACGAGGCACTTCACGTAGTTTTGGACATATCTACTATATAATATCTTCAATATGTTTAATTCCATCGAACATTGATGGTTTGAATATAAAGATCAGTAAGTATATTTATTGTCGACAAGTCATATCTTATGTCAGATCGTTAGTATGTGTCAATTTATGAGTAGTGAAAGATAGAAATAAAATAAAATTTTCCTTCCTTATTTTCCTAGTTCATTCTAGGGTGTGGGTGTGGGTGTGTGGGTATAAATGAAGAGATGATCCACACCCACACCCACATCCTTTCTAGAGATCCTTTTATTCGTCATACTGATCAAATCAATATGTACATACACATCCAGTTTTAGCTGTATGAAAAAAAGTCTAATGAACGTAGCGCAAAAGATGCTCAGAAGGACCGCTGACTGTCCATAGAGGGAGGTTTTGGTATAGTAAACAATTAACCCCTACCATACAGATATATAGATACATAAAATTAATGTTGTATAGTTGTAACACACGACTCAAAATGAAAAGATGCCATCGGACTTTTGAGCAGCACTGTACCGTAAAATGTAATTTGCTATTTATTATTAGTTATTATGAAACATCTTTTATATAAATTGACATTTCTCTATATATGAATTATTATTCAGAAATACAAACACGTTTTTTTCTACATCTTTCATCATGCGTTAAATTTCATTTAATTCGATAAATGAAAAATCATCTCGTTAATAACGCAAAAAAGAGGAACACATATTTATTGTCAATTATAAAGCTTAATTATCTACTATCACTTGTTTTCTATAGCAATTAGAAAGGCGTGCTCATAATTTATGAATTCTGTTTTGTCTTTAGCATTAATCTTAATTTTCTTGTTATTAATTCTATTTCCAGTAACTCACTTCGTTTTTACATAGGGAAAATCCTTTTTCCTTATTAATACAGTTCAATTTTTACTTTCTTAAGAAAAGTCATAATTTATCAAAAGGTTCTATGAAGAAAATTTAAAAAGAAATCCATTGTTTTATATGTTTTCGATAAAGCAATGACATTCAATGCAGAATTGACGCACAGAAAAAGGTGACGATGATTATTCAATAATCAAACTATCTATAACTAGAAATACTATTTTTTCGAGTTAGATTAACCATGATCAACTTATTTTATCTCCGTTTTCTGTTTTAATAGACATACGAATCTCTTTCTTTTGCAAAATAATATACTTTGAAAATATTCATCTAAAAACTTACAACTTTTCAAATCATTTAAGTATGACAGTATTTTGTTAGAGATATGTTCTAGGATACACACGAAGACTACACAGATGTTTTTGAATCTGTCATAATAAAAATAAATCTGCACAAGATGCAAAAAAGAAAAGACATCTAATGGATAGTAAAAACTAGCTTTACTGCGGTGAGAAAAAATACCTATAAACAATCCTAAAACTATTATAAGATATGGTACAAAACTGAAATAAATTGTTGTAGAAAAAAAGTGATGTAATTAAAATAACTTGTAAATAAAAAGACGGTCTATTCGAATATGTTGCAATTAATAACTGAAACTATTGAAATTTTTGCTTACAAGAAATTTCAGCACTATTATTCAAGTCGAACGTGAAATATAATCCAACGAAGATAATGCATATAATCATTTTTTAAACTGTAAACGCTTCATCAATTTTCTGCAAACACGATGCAACTTGATATGCTCGAACAGATCTGGAACGTGATATTTTCCGGCAGAAAAATTCATCTCTGTAGAAAATTAATTTTGACATATTTTATATTTTTAGTAGATTTCCTTTTATCTCTTAAGAAAAAAAACAACTAAACTAAAAATAACCGTAATTCTGTGTTATTATCAGATCGACGAATTATAACAAATTAGTTGTCAGGATGCTCATATCCTGATAGCGACAGAATAGTCAATTTTATCAAGACATCTTGAACACAGATTTTGAAATTAAAAACCAAATGCAACAAACTCTAATCTCTACGTATCCTAGGTCGAGAAATATGACGTCGTATACGACCGTATTTTTTTCACCTGGGATGCTGAGCTTATTCTAATGGTTATAAATCTTGCGTTTTACACGATAAAACTTTTAATTTCACTTCGCCAAGCAAATATAAATAAGATGTTTGTCGTAATAAAATCGAGATAGACGTTGTATGTAATTTAAAAAATTAAAGACCAAAAATAGAATTTTGTTTTGAGTAAATTTATAATTTGTGTTTGTCACAAACATCTTAATCTCTAATAATGCTAAAAGATTGAGAACGTCATGACAAACAATATAGTCAAAAAAAGCTGTTAATCTACTTTGTAATCATGGTAATAGAATGGTTTTAGATGTCAGCGACAAAAGTATTAGTTTTTTCTATATCATTATTTTTAATTCTATCCTTCCTTTTCCAAACATAAATTAAAAACAAATACTTATCTTGATTTTTCAAATAATCATAATT